CGCTGTTCGTACACGCGACAGCAAAAGTCTGCCCCGACGGATCGTATGCGGTGAGATACGGAGAGTTGAGGTTCAGTTGACCGCACCATTGCTTCGTCGAAATATTCCAAAGGCGCACAGTATTGTCTTGGCTACAAGAGATGAAGTTATCAGCGCCTGGGTGTATAGCAATATCTGTGACGCTCTTTTCGTGGCCCTCGAAGTATCGGATGAAGGAATTATCGTGGGTAGCCAAATATCGGATCTGATCTGGTAGACGTTAGCCATTGTGCGGCGGGTTGAGCGTAAAAGCGCCTACCATTCTGCTTCGTACTCGCGTAGATGATGCTGGAGCTCGTATGCGTGAACTTTGCCAGCTTGACGCCGTACTTCTTGCTTAGCAAATTCTTCTTGTGTATGCCTTCCTTTACGCTGTAAATCTGAATCGTCTCGTCGCTCTCAGAGGTCATGAGAAGTTCGCCTGGGTCGTCGAAATCGAGTGACAGCACGTGAGGTTGCGGACGGCCATCCTTGATGTCTTGCCTTTTGAAAAGCTGGAAACTAATCAGTCAGAGAGCTCCCTAGACGGTTTTTGGGCACTCCTTGCCTTTGTTGGGCGAAATGACGATATGACTTCGCTCAAAGGGGTAGTATTGTTGGTTGTCAGAGACCGCGTAATGTTGAGCGAATTTCCGTTAGCTGGAGTCGACTCGCGATGGTCCAAGTCCATAGGCGTTGAAGCCATGATGGGTTCCTTGAGGATTCCGAGAGCTATACTGGCTGAGTCGAACAGCGACACCTCAAATGATGCTGTCGCGAGCCGTAAGTAAACGACCCGTCGCAGGAGGAAACTTGAGGCTGTGCGGCAAACTCGGCAGAACTCGGCAAGTTCCTTCAGAGTATGTGTGAATAAGTGCAGTCGTCCTGAGGTTGCTGCAGGTATGAATCATGTGAATGGGAAGTCAGACCGCGTCTTGTCATGCGATGCGACTGGAGGAAACCAAAGAGCTTCCCCAATTCAGTTTCGCGGGGTTGTGGTAATGGGAGAGCTGACTGTGCCACAGTTTTTAGACCACCCCTGGCGTGTTCGAGATCGGTTCTCAGCCACACCTTGCAATTGCCAGCCTCCCATCGTTGACAATGCACGACTTCGCATTGGAAACTGGCGTCCGGCAATGGGCCAGCTAAATTGACGCCCCCCTTTTTGGTCAAGGTCTGGGGTAGCGAATACCGACTTAGGCCGCTGTGGCCCGCGAACCCTGCCAATTGGGACCTACAGACGCCGGGATCGGCAATGGCTATCCACGGCCATATTGACTTTGAGCAAGAAAAATCCCAATTTCTCTTCCGCGCGCGGAGCTTACTGAGAGACCTGTAGACCTGTAGCCCCGGTAAAAGGGTCAATCCAGTCACGTCGACCCAGTGCCAGCCCGACGGAACTCAAGCCATATCGCAGTCATATCGCCAACTTCCTCTCTTGAGTTGCGCGCATTACGGCGAACGGGTTCTCGACCAGTAGGCTATGTAAGAATCTGCTCAGAAATTTGCATTTGTCGATGTTGACTGGCTATCGACTTGCCACGACGTCAATGTTGCTGACCCGCGCTGTTCCGTCATTTTAGGTACTAGCATTCCGAGATCGCGGTGTCACTCTTTTCTCTTTCTCTCTCTCTCTCTCCTTCCAAACGAACCCCGACTATCATAGGAGTCGCAACCACAAATTACCAGCATCTTACACATCGACGATATCCAATTATTTCTTATCGCTGCGACAAGACCGATTGACACCATGTCAACAACCCTTGGGCAAGTCATGGCCCGCAGTTCGGCATCCGCAAGATCAGCGAAGCTAACCTTCGCAACAGCGCCTTCATCGCCGGCGGCATTGCCGCCTGCGGCGCTGTAACGGCCACGCATCCTTTCGAGACTGTCAAGATTCGGTGCGTCTGATAGCGACGACGCTCGCTCCTTTCCCGCACCCTGCCGCCGGCAACGCGCTGACCCCTCCCCCCGACGTGTGCAGAATGCAGTTGCAGGGAGAATTGAAGGACAAGGGACACCAGCCGCATCAGTACAGAGGCCCTCTGCAGGGTGTATCTGTTATCGTGCGTAATGAGGGCGTGAAAGGAATCTACCGCGGTATCGGCTGCGCGTACATCTACCAGGTCCTGCTGAACGGATGTCGTCTTGGATTCTACGAGCCAATGCGCGAAACCCTGTCGACTCTCATCTTCAAGGACGGCAAGACGCAGAGTCTGGGCATCAACATGGCTTGCGGTGCTGGATCAGGAATCATGGGTGCCGCCGCTGGCAGCCCTTTCTTCCTTGTCAAGACACGGTTACAAAGCTACTCTCCCTTCATGCCCACTGGCACACAACACAAGTACCGCAATGCTTGGAACGGTATGACCTCAATTTACGGTGCCGAAGGCATTCGGGGACTCTACCGTGGTGTCGGTGCGGCCATGATCAGGACGGGTTTCGGTAGCTCCGTGCAACTTCCCACCTACTTCTTCGCCAAGCGGAGACTGGTCCGCCACTTGGGTATGGAAGAGGGTCTGCCTCTGCATCTTGCTAGCAGTACCGTCAGTGGTTTCGTCGTTTGCTGCGTGATGCACCCTCCTGGTAAGTCTCAACTCAAGATTCCCCCAAGCATATTTCTGTACTAATCCTCATGGCAGACACCATCATGTCTCGCCTTTACAACCAAAACGGAAACCTCTACAAGGGTGTCTTCGACTGCCTGGCCAAGACTGTCCGCACTGAAGGCTTCTTGGCTATTTACAAGGGTTTCCTGCCTCACTTGGCTAGAATCCTGCCCCACACCATCCTTACCCTGACCCTGGCGGAACAGACAAACAAGCTGATGAGAAAGCTCGAAGACCGCATCCTGCCTTCGGCCACCATCCAGACCCCGTGATCAACCATTGATCTTGTACCTATTAAATCAGCGTTCCTTGCATATATGGAGTTAAAAATGAGCTGGGTAGACGGGGTGGGAATGCCGCGAGCCGATGATGGGCTTCTAGAGAACATATTGGGGGGTTGGCTAGGAATGTAGTGAGGCAGAATAGGGTCACGCCAGACAGGCTGGCCGGTGAAGGTGCTTTGAACGCGCATTCTCTGTTCGATCTATCCATATATAGACCGTTCGCATCCATAACATAGTTTCCCTGCGGTGCGCTTCCTGCTGTCGTCAATATCCTCTCCTATCTCACCCTTCCAGCGAGCATCTCCTTGTGCGTCCACATCCATGCCGCAGACCGCGCACGCATCGCCGTCGCTCTCTCGTGTCAATTTGCCACTGGTGCGAACGACGTTGGCGACGACGGAGGGATAACTCTCCTCCACTTCCTCAAAGTACCGCGCCATGACATCCTCGATGCTGAGCTCCTTGTGCGAGACGACAGCGTTGCTGCTTGGTCCCACTTCCTGGGCAAGATCCTTCAAAGACGGTATCAGGCCCGCATACGTGATGACCTCTCGCCTGAAAACGTCTCGAAGGAGGTAGTACACTGGAAGCATCGTCTTCTCCGTCCCTCGGACAGCCCCCTCGCCGCCCTCCGCGCTCTGCCCCTCCCCAACATGGGACAATGTCGTGACGGGAACGGGACCGTCGGCGACCTGCCACGGCACGGCGAACCCGCGGCCCTTGGCCGTCTCGGCGAGCGTCAGCTCGGCCAGGGCGGTCGTGGTGCATCCCAGCAGCAGCGCGTGGCACTCCCTCTCCACGGCCAGCGACAGCAGCAGATTCCGCACCAGGAGCCTCATGATGTCCACCCGCGACGTGACGGACGGCAGGGCCTCGAGGAGGCCGCTGAGCTGCTGCGCGGGCGCGAGCCCGGGCTGCAGGGCGGGGAGGACGGACCAGTCTATCGTATCCAGCTTGAGGGCGTCGGCCAGCGGGACGATCTGCATCGAGAGGTTGGGGAACTGCTCCTTGTACTTTTCAAAGAGCAGGCTTGCCGACGACGACGAGATCGCGGCGTCTGCGGCGTTTGACAGGTCGGTGTCTATGTGGACGACGTGCACCTCATACGCGACGCGCAGGTTCTTGTCCTTGAGACCTTGGAGGTTCTTGTCGAGCACCTGAACCAAGGAGGCCGACGAGGGGCCGAGGGAGAGTCCGAGGAGATACTTTGCTCTTGCATCGGGGGTAGTGCCCAGCTTGTCCTTTACATCGCGGTATGGCTGGGCGAGGCGCTTCACGACTCTTTGGACGATATGCTGTTCATAGCAAGTCCTGTGCGTATTGGTTAACTCTGTATAATCTGAGCCTAGAGAATGTACATGTGAGAACACTTACTCGCAAAGAGGATCCTTTCTCACTTTCAAGACAGTCGGTGTCTTGCATCGCCTACATGGGCGAGGTTCCGTGTTGCTGCTCATGACGGCGGGTCGGGTCGCAATGAGTGACGTCAAAGTGCTAGGGCGGCTCAGGTGTGGTTATTGAGTTTTAAAGGAGTCAAATTCGGACCGTTCTCGAATATGAGTATTGTATACTTTATTATGGCCTCATAAGTGTCCAAGAGGGTGTTGCAGTAGTTTGTTGTCGATGATGAAAAATGTGAGAAAGGTTCCGCCACCAAAGTTGACTCAGACTCATACTTTCTTTGGTGTGTGTAATTTGAAATTTTTTGGGCTGAACCATCCTTCTCCATCACCCCCGCGAAAATTACCCAACATCTATTGAAGTCAATAAATGAAGCAAGCATACTGGGACTTTTAAATAGACATTTTCCATTCATTAGATCAAGGTATTTTCAAGTTCATCATGTTTTAGGCAACCGACGTCGTTCTCATCTGTTCATGCACATCCTTTCCCGCCGAGGAAAACGGTGTTCAACCTTCCGTAATGAAAATGGAGGAAGAAGACGATGTCCTATATACCTACAAGATGTTATATCATATGTCTTCGTGCTCGAACAACAAAACTAGCGTCAACTGAAATCGATTTCCATCGTACAGAACTAAGTAACCTGTCGCGTCACAACGAGATTCTAGTTGAATGCAACTCGGGTTTATGAAAAGACGCAGCCTAGGGGATGCTTCTCAAAGAATCCGCGGTCCTTCGCCCAAGCATTCTTCAAAATGTCCCTGCCCTCAGTCGCCACTGCCCTCGCTTGGTCTTGCGAGCCCCAGCCCTGTACTGTTGTGCCAAACCCGATGAGATGAACGGCAACATGAAGTAGTGTTCGGAACGCAAAGTCGTCATCCACTGCACCGTAGCCGTTAACGAAACCTTGGATCAACCAGATTCCCGCTTCCATGTCTTTGTATAGCTTCAATTCGTATAGTTCCGCAATCATCTGGCCTAGGTCAAGAGGTTTGACTGCAAGTTGGCACATCTCCCAATCGACGACAAGAAGGCAGCTATGTTCGTCGTCCCAAGGTTTCCCTTCTAGAAGAATGCTAATAAATTGTTAGTAGCATGATTGGAATGTAAATGATTGGGGCAGCTTACTTTCCGGTCCAAAAGTCGCCGTGGATGACCTGCAGGGCTTGCTCGTTTACCATTTCCTCCTTTACGCTGTCCACGATGTCTGCAAAGATATCATTACAACCCCCTAGAATATCCGGGAATCGCTTGATGGAACTGGGGAGCCGTTCATAGTTCATCCATCGCTTCAGCGTTTGCATTTCCTTATTTTCCGCTGCGATATCGCGAAACTTGAGCTGATGTTCCGAGTTGCTCCAGTCATGAAATGACCGGAGCCACGCACCCACAGCCGTACCAATTTTGAGGGATAGTGACTTGACTGATTCTAGAGTTGGTGTCTCCAGAGTTGGCGCCTCCAGGGTTGACGCTGCGAAGTACTCAATTGCATAGTTCTTGAGGCTGAGTGGGCTTGGCTGGTACGCTTGAACCTGGGTATTGGTCTCTTCATTGAAGTAGAACAGCTTCGGAGTTGCTACGGTGATCTTCTCGCCGGTGTGTGGTGAAAGGGCTGAGAGGTCTTTCAAACAGCTCTCTTCGATCCGCTGCCTGAGGTCAGCCATTGATGTCCTCCTGGTCGAAGATATAGGGACTCACGCATCTTGACGTGGGGAGTTCGAAATCGGGGCTCTGGGCCACGAAACCCTCGCCATGCTTTACAGCTACCTCTGCAGTCCCATCGAGCAGTGGCTCCAGCAGCTTCACGTGAAAAATGAAGTTTGTCGTTCCTCCACTGAGAAGGCGGGCAGACTCGAGGGAGTATGGCGTACCTGCCAACTCCGCCTTGACCTCACGAAGCACACGATCCGATGTGCTTTCGTCTGCCATCGCAATTATGGGATTTGCGGCCGAAGCTCAATAAGGGCAGTTTTGTCACCTGTCTGGGAAAGCGGGGATAGCTTGCGATATCTGCACCGGGTTGGAGAATGAGGGGGTGTGAAGTTTGCGTCACCCACGAGGTAGTTCAAGAAATCACTGGAATACTTTCGAGTAATAAACTAAGGAGACGACGGGCTTCATTCGAAAACCGCTGGGAACGCTCTTTCTCTTCGTTATCTCCCAACAAATTGATCGGGGTGTCGCTTCCCCAGGGCAGGTTGAATAACAGGGCAGCAGCAACCTGCAGCTAAAGGGCAGATGACTCACTCGGCGTGAAGTTTCAATCTCTTCCATCGCATCGCGAAACCCGTAGACCTCGAAAGATACTGTCAAATGAGAAACTAATCCAAGTCACCCACTTCCTAGATTGCTTTGCTGGCCGTCACGAACAATCAATCATTCGTCCAGAGTATCACAAAATGTATGGATGTCCAGTACCGGCACTATGCCTTGCCTCCTCCACCTTGAAAGACCATCTACCACAAATTCAAGTTGTTGCAATGAAGCATGCACTATACACCAAGCGCGGAAAGGGCAGTCCGATCATAGAATAGTCCAAAGTTCGGCCCTCAGCTCGGCTTGCTCGCTCACCGAGATGACCATCCCAGTGTCGATGGATATTTGAGTTCTTCGTTCTCTAATGGGCACACGAATTGGGGCTTTCGCGTCAGACGAGCTCCTATCCAAGCGAGAATTACAGACAAAGACCTAAGCCTCGCAATACTGAGGTCGAGGCCGACGCTCTCGATAACTTGTAACTATCACGGGACCTTGGCCTACAAGGGCGCCGCGCCTGACTAAAAATAAGGTAAGCTGTTCTGTGAGACATTTGATGTGATCCACCACTTACACCCACTGATAGGCCCGATGAAAGACGAAGTATACCAGGTCAAACAACGCCATCCACTACCAACGACCTCGGCATGCTTACAACCATGGCTGATCATGTAAGCCTCTAATGGGTTCTCAACGACAAGGATGTTTCATGCCTTTCTGGATGTAAACAGAGGCCATGGCGTTGCTGACCGCTGTGCTACGTCCGAGAGGTAGTCGAAACAAACCATTTTTCACGCTGAAAATGACTTCTGTGCAATTTGGAGGTAGGAGGAGATTGAAGATGGGCAGCGGGAGGAAGTGGAACAGCAGTAGTTTCCCTTGGCAGTGTAAGTAGATCAAACGACACACGCAACTCCAAACCCCAGTCTCTTGTCAAATGGCCCTTGACCTCTGCAGGTCAAAATTACAGTCTCACCAGAGCACATTGGTGGTTTTCGACTTGGCTTGAGACGGTCTGGAATATTATACCTAGTCTCGGGACAAGGATGACCCACTGGAAATTGGGTGGTTGGATAGTTCCAATTCGAGTTCAGCCACAGCAACATAAAAGAGAATAAGCGGCCAACCACCGGGCCGCACCGGTCTTGGACACTAACATATGCCAGATCCTGATCTGACTGGGGGTTGAGCGCCACGGAAGAACGGTTCGATGAACCGTGAGCAAACATACTTATCTGAGCACCTCACCGCTCTTCCCGATGGATTGATTCTGTGGGCGGCTCTGGAGAGGAATCAATGTGGCGGAGGTGTGCTCCGGAACAAGTTCGACTAGGAAAGAACACCCGCGAATAGCTCTGACAGCTCTTTACCGAGCGGATGGGACGTGGCATGGCGGGATATCAGGGTGATCCGTCTCGGAGCCGCGCTCATACAACGTGTAGTCTTGGCAGGGAACCGGGACTGCTTTGCGCGAGTTGAAAGGGCGGCAACTATTAAAGCTGGAACGTGACGTTGATGCGTAGTGGATATGAGCGTATCTCTAGCTTGCTCGGATGAACTGAAAAGTGACGGACCGCATGTTGTGCATAGGCAATGGGCTCGTAAATAGAAGGGAGATAGAATGCAAGTAGACCACGGACGTATGATGCCTAAGCGCGCTCGGTTGACGAGGTTGAGGCCAAGTCTGGGCGCCTAAGAAATAACGCGCTTCGGATCTTGTTTGAATTGAGAAAAGCATTGGGCGTAGTGTAATTACTGTTCTCCTATCCGTATCCAGCTAAGAAAGTTTGCAAGCGCCCTGCTTATCAAAGTGATTTGCTTGTGATATGCGGAGTACAAGGTACGGATAGGTAGCAGCGTCAGAATAAAGCCTAGAGCAAAAATTCAGGAACGGAAAGAAATGGAGACTTGGGGCACATGTTCGGACCGTCAGAAACCAAAGTGCTGGGGAAAGCAAAACGCAACAGTCGGGAGTTTGGTCTAGCAAGACACATGGCACGAGGGAGTCAGGGAGTCAGGCATTGAGATGGGACGAGATTCTTCTATTTGGAACAGAAAGGCGACCCACATGGGAAACAGTGAATGGCCAATGCAGCCGAGCGATGCAGAACAGGTAGGGTAGAGCCGCAGAAGCGTTTGTAGTGAGACGGTGGTCGCGACCTACCCCTTTTCCTACTACCTATCCATTATCCAATGATTCAGGACGTGCCTGACTTTTTCAACGTCTACTCCGTACCTACTCCGTAGTCCACTGCTGCTGTCTGGCGAATGGCTGGCAGGCGGGGACTGGGAGACTTGGAGTTGCATCCCAACCACTCGATCAAACAGCTTCGGGGGTGAAACGGGGCGGTGCTGGTCGCTCAGTGCTTCACCCACTTCTTGGCCCGCCACTATTACTTTAGCCATTGATGGCGATAAAAGTCGTACGTGCTTTCTAAGGTATTTGAGGGCGCCTGAGGCTCTGCAGTGTCTGTACCAAGGAGCCAAGTACAATACACCTGAATGTTCTGGATGCCTTCAGCCGACAAGCAGAAGGCTTACTGTACATATAGGGCAAGAGACGGGAGTGAGGCATATGCAAGTATGTACCTTGTGTAAGTATTCCGCGCTTTCCATGCAGCAAGTAGGTACTGCAGCAGGTACGCTCAAGCGCTCAGATGCGCCAATGACCATTTCCCTTGAATCCCCTCGATTCCCGACCACCTCTTCCCTGTCTCCCAAGCCTGTCACCTCTCAAAGGGCTGCTCTTGTTTCTTTGATTTCAGACACCGTCAACCACTCAAATGGGAGCTGGTGAGCTGACTTGGAGTCCTCTCCGCAGAACCCCTCACCAGGCCCCATGAGGCACTTTAGGAGATGTGGCCCAGAGCAATGCGCGCGTCTGCGACTCGCTGCGCTTCTTTCTGTTCTGCCCGTGGGGTCTTGACCAGTTATTGGTTTGATGATCCCCCTCGGGTGTACCTGAATTGAGCATTGATTACCTTAGATGGGTGTACATGATAGTCAAAACAGCAAGAGAAACGCAGTAAGCATAACGCAAGATACTTGTACCATCTACACCCAAAGTCCCCATATCTGCCCCTGGGGCAAGAGGTACCTTACAAGTCACATTACAATATCATCTCATCAACAATGCCAACCTGGTACCAATGGTCCAATGCCACTGCAATGCATTAAAGAAAAAGGGACTCCACAAACTAATTTTGTCCTCTCTGCGCCCATTCGCCCACCTTCAGATGGCGCCTCTGATCCCTCTCTCTCTCTCAAGCTTGATGCAATGCGCCCTGCTTCTTCTTTTCCTGCGACATCGCTGTGCCGATCAGCGCCCCTCCCCTCAAAGCTTAACTCTGACGGGCACCATTGCAATTATAATCACCACCAAGCTTGGCTTGGGGCCGAGACTTTTAATTCCAGACTTTTTTCGACTCGTCTAATGTCTCCGTAGCTATCCCGTCACTCGTCACCGCCATTGGAGCTCTTCCGGCATCGTCATTGTCAACTCACTCCCGTCTCCCGTACATCCCGTCAGGTCCCTCTCCTCTTTCTCCTCTTTCACTCTCCAGAAGCCGTACCATAGCTTCAGGTTCTTCCTCCACACCTTGGCTACTCCATCGCATCTCGCCCCCGCTGAGTAAACGCTCGGCACTTGACCTGTCGTCAATTCCACCACACTGTATCAGGCTTGCGGCTTGACTCCGTCACTCTTTTGAGAGGTATTTGACACGGCGCTACGGATACTTAGGGACTACATTACCTTACTGCGAAGCCCGTCGACCCTCACCGCATCTTGACATTCCAATTTTTTTTTATTAAACACCATACCGCTCTATCCGACCCCCCCCCCCCCTTCCATCCGTTACACAGCGCTCTTCATCCCTTTGCTGCCATCACTTGCCTCTCAAACTCGAGATTCGTCTCCTTTCCTTGGCATCCCAAGTTTCACCACTCAAATACCTGACCTCTCAACACCCCCGGCACAAGACATCTACACACGACACGCCCGTGCGAAAGGAGTCAACGCTGAAGCTCCTCCTTCTCCTTCTCTGCTCCCCCCCTTTCCACAGCAACACTACGCGCGCGACCCGTCTCGACCCGCCTTGCACACTCGTTTCTAACCATTTACCTTTGTGTCCAAACACATTTTCTGGTCCTTCTCTCGTTTTCGCAAGGGCAGCAATCAGCATAAACAACGCCCCAGTCGGTCCCAGCAAAAATACAACGGCAATCGAGCAAGGGCACGATAATAGAGCCACCACCGACGCGCGACTCCCACTCGGTATATCCACTTCCAGCCACCTCGACTTCTTTTTGCCTCGTCCAACACCCGACTTGACCTTGCAGAAATCCTTTGGCTACCTTACCTACCGATACCTGGACTAATACCCGGAGACCCAACGCTGCCGGCACTGCCTGCTCTAGTCGCATCGCTTGTTCACCCGCCGCCGCCGTTTTCTACAAGTCTCTCGTTCTTCGGCAACTTTACGTCTTTGCCCGTTCCGCCCACCGTCGTATCGTTCCCCGGACGGACTTTTTGCACGGGAATCTCTTTAATGTGCGACTTTACGCGACTGCCATCCTACTTTCACCCACAACCACACGATACGAATTAATATCTTCATCATGACGACCATGGCCCAGTCGCAGATTCAGCTGCCTACGCCGCATCCGGCACCAAGCTTGGGCGTCACCATCCCACCATCCTCGATATCTCTTCCCACCGATCCCAATTCTCGACTTCGAAGCCGCTTGGCCCTAGACACCTATTCGTCGCCCGTTAATCAAAACGGCAGCTTCGAGTTCGACCGTGTTGTGAAGAGCGGCTACCTGCAGAAGCGCACACAGAAGACAAAGGTTCGTAGGACCCGTATCCATTTACGCTTGAGGACCATTTCTGACCAATTGTGTAGACTTGGAAGTCAATTTACTTCGTCCTCCGACCCAATTCACTCTCAATTTACCGATCCGACAAGGAGGACAAGCTGCGACACAAGCTGTACCTCGCCGACTTAACCGCCGTTGCTTTGCTCAAGGACCCCAAAAACAAGAGAAAGAACGTGTTTGGACTCTTTTCGCCAGCGAGGAACTACCACTTTCAGGCTAGCAGTAGCCACGATGCAGAGGAATGGGTGGATTTGATTAGGAGTCATGCCCGTATTGAAGAGGAACATGATGAGCTGCTCCTTGCCAGCCCGAATGGCAAGCGGCAATCCTACCTTGTGGTTGGCAGATCCGCCCAGGCTGGAGACATGGCACGAACCGAAAGGCTTGGATCAAGCTCTCCTGAGCCGCTGGAACCTCCAGTGCCGCGCTTTGTTGGCTCAACCCATCGACGTCCATCGCAGATGGCGGATACCGCTGGGTACTCAGGCAACGAACTCGCCTCGCATTCGGACTTCTCAGACAACGAGATTCAAAGGATACAGGGCATGTCCATTGAAGACCTGGCGGTCCAGTTGCCGAGCAAAGGCACCCAGGACCGGCCAGGTCTTGACCGTAATGCGAGCCAACTTAGCGGTCTCAACATTGAGCAAGATCCGGATCGCGTCATCTGGCAGGGCTGGCTTTGGTTCCTCCGCAGCAAGGGCGGCGTGAAGCAATGGAAGAACCTTTGGGGTGTGCTCCGGCCGAGAAATTTTATTCTCTACAAGGACGAGTCCGAGTACACGGCGCAGTTCATTCGACCAATGTCGGCAATTGTTAATGTAGTTGACATTGACCCGGTCAGCAAGACCAAGAAGCACTGTCTGCAGCTCATTACGGAGGAAAAGAGCTACCGATTCTGCGCCCACGACGAAGAATCTTTGATTCATTGCCTTGGCGCATTCAAGAGCTTATTCGCCAAGAGACGAGAGCTCGAGACGCGGGGTCCTACAGGAGGAAACCAGCCCACTACAAATGCGGCATGAAGCTGCAAGTCATTACTAGGCAACCCACAGGATTTTCTTTTTTAGCGGGAGTTTTGCCACAGCCTTTTTTCTTTCTTTTGTTTACGAAGCATGACGCAACGATATTTATTTGGGACTCTACAGAGTCGAGGAGCCGGAGAGAAATGCTTGCTAATAGCTTTTGCTACTCAGCTGCAGCTACGGTCGAGTGTCGAGAAGACGACGACGACTCGGGCGCTGGTGCATTTCTTGGGAGAACGAGAGGGAAAAGGCCAGGCCACTCTTTGGGAGAAAGAAGCCTATTAGCCAACCGCTTTGTTTTAGTATACCCTACCTTAGTGTGATACTATAGGCAGACTTTGACTGCTGGCCGTCTCAATATGAGGAGGCGGGTTACGAGTGACGATAATAATGAATAAATATTCTACTGCATTTCTGAGTTTGTCATTGTCGCTCAGTGATGCGAAGGCTTCTGTGCTTAGACCGGCCAGTGTTGCACAGACGAAAGCCCCCTGAACGACAGGAATGTCAAGAAATGATCATTCTCATTAGGTCACTGGCAAGTCATTGATTGCCTCTTGTGACACAGGATCTAGCAGACTCCCACGGCAAACCAGACCAGGCAGGTGTTATTGACTTGATGACCGCTTTGGCCGAACTTGACCAATAGCGCTGAAGATATTAGTTCTCCAACTTTTGGAGGTGGGAGGGCTTTGGCACTAAGAATTATGAGAGGGAACTCGGGAAGGGGGGGACACGAAGAAAAAAACGGTGTGGCGAATGAGAGTGGCGCAAACAGCTCAGACCTCTGTTAGTGTTGTCCAGCTCCAGCCCCGGTCGGGTGACGTGGACCCTCTTTTATCGGACGGTCCTATGGCGCCGCGTCCCGGCCACACCAACCTCACCTCCGCCGCCGGTTCCTTTTCAGTCTACGGGCCTTCTGCGCGTTTGAATACCACCCACACCTTTCCTCTGCATAGTAAGCTCTCGCCTCTGAGCTTTCCACTTGGCTCTTTGGACGACACCCCGACAGACCTTGACCTTAACCTTGTGAAATGCCTGCATGGCAAATGCCGTTCCTGGCCGAGACAGGCGAATCACACGCCGCAACGGCCATGCGTCCAGCAACGGCTTACCCCTGTCTATGGCGGGGGGGACCTGACGAAGAGAAAGAGGTCTCGGTACGCTTCTTCTCTGCTGTTGGCTCTGTGACGGTTTGGATCAACAACTTAGGGCACTGCTTTGAGAGTAATTAAGTGTTGGTTGTTTGCGGTCGAGTATAGGCGTGTTCATGGGTTGTTTGGCTCTCCGGCTGCTTTATCTTTTCCTATAGTGACGGACGGGATGCAACCCTGTCGTGAGGAGAGCATGGGCTCGGTATACTGCGCCGACTCTATTCGTCCGAAGTTCTACACCTTTTGAGAAGCGCTTTTGACAGATGTGATTGATCGATGCTCCGTATGGATGGAACCTCTCCAGATGGAGGCCCCCATCTTCTAGGGAGGCGACTTCTTCTCTACTCGCACTTCAGTTTGGGCGGCCTGGGCATTTACGAGCAATGATATATAGGGTAGGTCAGTTAAGGGTCGCGTGCTATCACCTCGGCGTTGTTTTTGAATGACTTTCTCTCGATCTTTCGCCCACACCTTTCTCTGCGAGCAGGGCGAGCACTTTCTCTGCCCGAAGGGTTGTATCGCTGGTTTCTGTTGGACCTGCAGGTAGTCAGTCGCCCTTCTGTCTCTTGGGGGGCTCCCTCAGCTGCTCTCCTTCAAGGTTCCATTAGGACGTCCTCGTGGACTATTTCGGCACTTTCTGCGTACTTGATCTAGCAGATCAGGATGCTTCATACCTGATCGACGTTTGCACCGCGCGTATTATATTACTTCTTTTCTTCTGCTTCTCGGCTACTTATTATCACTAAGAGTCGACCATCCGTAGGCTGTCTGACTTGGCGACGCTTTCAAAGACTAGAGCTTTGTCTAGTATCTCTATATCGACACACGATCGTAGTGATCTGGGGGAATAAAACAGCTCGTAGGGCGATATCACAACAACGCGATAGTAAAAGTACCGTCTTGATTACAACAATATCAGAAAAAAGCGCCAACAATGAGGCTCGTCCCTATCCTCTGGGCCGCCTGGTCCCTCATCCTACCCGTCCTTGCCCAAAAGCCGCAACTCCCCCTCTTCTCAACATCTCGCTGGATAACAGACTCGTTCAACGCCCGCGTCAAACTCCGCTGCATCAACTGGGCCGGCCATATGGAGGTCAACCTCCCTGAGGGTCTCCACAAGCAGCCGATAGAGTACCTGGCCGACTGGATCAAGCAGCAAGGCTTCAACTGCGTGCGCCTCACCTTCTCGACAGACCACGCCACGAACCCGGGCATCACCGTCCGCGACTCCTTCGTCAACGGCGCCAAAGCAGCCGGCGTGCCCGAGGCCGACCTGCTCAAGCTGTACGACCAGGCCCTAGTCCAAAACCCGTTCCTCGCCGACGGCAACATAACGCAGCGCGACGTCTTTGGCAAAGTCATCGACGTCCTCTGGGAGCGCGACATCATGACCATCCTCGACAACCACGTCAGTAAAGCCTCCTGGTGCTGCAACCTCGACGACGGCAACGGCTGGTGGAAAGACGCGCGGTTCTACTGGGCCGCCAACTCGCGCTACTTTGACACGGACGACTGGCTCGCGGGCCTGCAGCATATGAGCCTCTGGGCCAAGACCAGACCGGGCGTCGCGGCGATCTCCATCCGCAACGAGTTGCGCGCCACCTGGACGCAGATTCCCTTTGCCGCGGATCAGTGGTACGGCTACGTGACGCGTGGGGCTAAAGTCGTCCACGAGGCAAATCCGGACGTGCTCGTCATCATCGGGGGCCTCAACTCAGCCACGGACTTTTCCCCGCTACGGACGAAGAACCTCGATACAAGCGCGTGGAAGGGGAAGAACGTGTGGGAGGCGCATAGCTACAGCTTCACGGTGACGACGCCAAATTTCGGAGACTGCAATGTTGAAAGGGCAGAGTACGGCGCCTTGTTCGGCTTCGTGCTGGAGCACGGTAAAGGGTACACCGGTCCGCTGTTCATGTCCGAGTTTGGGGCCGCCATGCAGGGCGGGAGCGAGGACGGGCTGTCGGCCGAGGAGCACGCGTACCTGACTTGCCTTGTGGGCTATCTCGAGGACAATGACGCGGATTGGGCGTTGTGGACGATTCAGGGGTCGTATTATGTGCGGAACAAGGCTGTTGATTTCGACGAGACGTGGGGTGCCATGGATCACGAGTGGAAAGATTGGAGGAATGGCAAGTTCAAGGGGCTCTTGGGGAACATTTTTGCCGTTACTCAGGGGCCTTAGCATGGCTGCTGGGAGGGTGAGATTGTGGAATTATGCGAGATGTCAGTTTTCGGGTTCGGGATGATGTATGTAGATCTTGCTCGGATGATGGACAGAGATAGTTTACCACTTTGTAATTAATGTTGAGGACCGGCCCCCTTTTGTGTTGTGGCGAGGACATTCTGTGCCACCAGGCATCCAGATGGGTCTTGCATATCGAGGACAGTCAGTATTTGTCGCCGTACATCAGGGCCATCGTATCGAGAGATCATGGCGATGTAAATGATAGGTTGCCTCTGGGTTTTCGTCGTCCATTCACGCTTGGCAGAGACGAAGCCGTTGATAAAATGACTGGAAAAACTGGGTATCATGAATTTCTACCAATATCTAGTCCCGAAAATTGGCCAGTTGGCTGGTCTGGGTGAAGACGCGCGCCTACACTCTCGGCTGACGCTGGTTGGAGACCTACCTCCCTAGGATGCCTCCTTTGCCTCGTCAGCCTTGGCCTCGTCGACCTTCTCTTTGGTCTCTTCTGTCTCTTGTGCTTCCGCGGTCTTCTCGGTCTCCTCAACTCCCTGAGCTTCTTGAGACTCCTGGGGTTCTTGCGGCGCCTCTACCGGAGCATCGTCCATGATAGTGTCCGCTTCATCTACTGCTGCCTCGTTGTCTGGCTTGCCATTGCTGAGCTCGGCCTCTTCGGCTTTGCCATAGATGTGTTCCTCCAGCGTCTTGAAAGTGGCGTCGAGCTCCTCGTTGGTCAGAACCAAATCAAACCCATCCTTTAACTTCGAATCTTCTTCCCAGTAGGGAGCAGCTTTGCTAAGGGCGTCTGCAACCAAATCGCCTTTCTCCGCCTTTCGCAAGCGTTCTTCCAAAACTTCCTTACTTGGTGGCAAGATAAGAATTGTCCGTGCCGAGTAGCCAAGGTCGCGAGTTTGTTGGATGGCCTATATTTCGGTCAGTAAAATTTCAGTTTCACTTGGGAGAGAAGGGAGATGTCTTACCTCGCTATCCATGTAGGTGACTGGGACCTTGCCACCCTCGACAACCGCTTCTAAAGCCTTCCGACTCGTGCCATAGTCCACATCATCTATCGTGGTAAACTCCAATAACGCATCGCCATCTCTCAGCATGTTAAAGGCCTGTTTCTCGACGAAGTAGAAGACTTTGCCCTCAGCCTCGCGTTCTTGTGCCTTTCTCGTCGTATGGCGTGGCACGTATTTAAAAGCTCCAGGACGTCGGCTTGCGAGTAATTGAAAAAGTGTCGCTTTCCCTGCACCGGGCGGTCCTGAGAGTATGATTGGGCGCTTGTCTTCGGGAACGTCTTCAGATTTTACGGCTTCCTCGGCAGCCTCGCTTTCGTCTACGTCGACCGGTTCCTCAAATATGGCGTCGATCTTTTCCGGATCGTCGATCTTGTCGAATGAGGCCAACCTTGATTTGCCTGCTATACGGAGGGCGCGCCAACTCTTACTCGCTTTGCTTTCAATAAAAGGCGCTTTTTCCAGGGGGGTGTTTGACATGTCGATCTCAAAGTCGTCGTTGGCAATCTTCCCCTTGAAGCTCTCAAGCTCTGGCAGGCTGTATCTTTCCAGGGCCTTGAGCTTCTTCATCGCACGCTCGTCATCGCCATCATCCAGGAAACCAAGGGATAGAGACCCCATCGGCGTGGCCCTCAATCGCTTCTTTGTCGTTGTACGCTGAGCTGCCTTTTTGGCCTCGTCAAATGTCTCTGGGGACACTGCGGGCAACTCTATTGATGGGCAGTTCTCCGACTTCCAACGAATCCAGTTCTTATCTCTGGCAAGGACCGTTTCGACCATTCGACTGAAATACGGACCGTCAACCCCATGCTTGAGGTACTTGTCGACAATCGTCTTCTTCATCTCTGTCGCCCATTTCGTCTGTCTCCATGTCAGTCTGCCTCTTAACTGTTCACGGATATAATCCCGCCACTTACGTCTTCTTCGGTAAGAACCTGGCCGAGGTAAATCACCGATTTATTTTGAGCGTTGCCGGCCAGTTTCTCCTTTGTTTTCGGGGAAAGAGAGAGAAGGAAATCCATGATGATCAAGGCTTGAACGAGGATGTGTCTGCGGAAAGAAATGTCGCTCATCTAGGACAGTCAGTCTGAGGGCCACACAGCATGATGTGCCACTGCTTACCTCTAATTCAAAGAGGTCTCTGCTTGTCAGATATTTGGGATTGTATGAGTTTGCCAAGTCGCTCTCTTCCACATCTGCTCGTTTCCGTTTGAAGCCTCGTTGGGCCTCATCTACCGCTTTTGGCGGCCGCTGACCCTGCTCGCTTTGAATTGCTCGGAAAGATGTCATTGTCGCTTCTAAGCCGCGCTTGAACTCATTCAAGTGGGCAGGATCAAACAATCTCTTGGGCTGGCTAAAAGTCTCCTGCAGAGACCAGAACAAGGGATACAGAGCATCTGGCTCAAGCGGCTGATCGTTCTGCAGTGACTTCTTCGCGTCAAATGAAACGGCCTTTGGTTGAGACTTGGACTCTATTTCCCTAGCCCCCGTCTGACTATCCACGTCCATTTGCTCGGTAGTCTCCTCAGCCTTGGCACTCAAATCGTCAAAGACAGTGACATTCTCGGTATGGTATTCTCCTCGCAAGTTGACGGAGCTCTTGTCTCCCAGGGGAAAGCTCTGGAACATGAAGATGAAGACGCGACCACAGAAAGCAGTATCCTCAGCTCGAGAGAGACGTCGCAGGAGTTCGTTACAGCTACGAAGGATCACCAATTGTTTTTGCTTGAAATGCTTCACGGTAATCCTTTCGCGTCTCGATTCAAGAAAGTCGAAGATCTTGCGGCATCCGGCGATTGTTTGGCTGTCCAGGAGTTCTTCCACCAGCCAGAATAACAAGGCTGGGTCGCATTTTTCGTCGTCGGAGAGCACAGTCAGGAGGTCAAACAAGTTCCAGACCTTGACGAAATCTGGGGATTCGATGGGTGTCGTGGCCTCGAGAAGTATGTTGTTAGTCAATTGATGCCTGGCGAGGATAATTGAGTTCGACCTACAATCAAATTGCTGAACATATCTCTTACGGCAGTCTCGATGATAGCGAATTGTTGAGCTTTGTTCTGAATCGCAATGCCGACGCCATTCTCTTCTGAGACTCCCGGAATCGCAAGCACGCGAGCAAGCTGTTCCTGCAGATCACCAAAGTCTGCCTTTTGTAATGCTGGTTCAATGGTGGGTGTAGACTTGACCTCCATCGAGCGAGCCAGGAGGCCGTCCAGCAATTTTGCAAATGCAACGACCCCGGGCACCTCATGGCGCTGAGGCGTGACGGCGGCCGGCATCTTGGGATCGGTCGAGAGACTGCGCTTAGTTGTGTAGAAGCGAGGAAAGCTTAGCCATATATGCCATGTGACGGTAGGTTTGGCTGGTCGAATGGATGTCGCGTTTCGTTCCCTCTCGACGCTAGGTGTGTTGAAGACTCCGTTGCGGAAAAAGTGTTCGCAATGCGCAGCGTTGCCGATTGAAAGAATTCACGATCGGTTGAGCTTCAGTTCCCGTAGTGGAGGTATCCGTAAGGTAAGGTACGTCGCAAACAACGACCTTGAGTCTAAGGTAAGTGGGTCCAGCCACTGGCGCTACCACCCTGAAAGTTTACAGCACCTTTTTGAGACACCCATAGGCACCTCGCGACTCAGGTGCTCTCCAGTGAGCAGCCCTGTAGCTTGCAAACAAACACTGGGGGAAGACTGAGCGCGTCGGTTTGTCGCGTGGGGAACCTGCACCACCAGCCAACTCACCTTCATCTGAGAGTGCGACTTGCCCGAAAAGCAAGGCTGAAATTTTTGAGAGGTGGACGAGCTCTGCATTTCGTCACTTTCAACAATTGCGCGCCTGCGCATCGAATTTTCCACAGCAAATCGATACCCGCCTTGTCTTTTTCCTCACCAGCATGCAATCGCGCATATTGGCATTCCTCTTTGTCCGAAGTTGAAAAGCACCATGCCGACAGCCAAGAGGCAGAAGAAGAGCAGCGAGGCTCAAGCTGCGCCGTCAACCCGATCCCAAACAAAGGCCACGAGCGACCGTCCGACAGTTGCCGATATTGAGGGGGAAAGCGCATTCGCTCAATTGGCAAAGAAGCATTGGTTGAAGACGACAAGGAGCAAGAGGGCGACCAAGGTCAAGGTCAAGAACGATGTTCTCAAGCAAGAGATATGGGATGTTTTGGAACGTGATGGCTTCCCGTATAAGTCTATCTTGACTTTGGAGAGCTTGCAGACTCTCGAGAGGTATGTACAATTACACTGATATTTGTATATTTGCTGATCCTGATGTCCCTTAGTTACCTGTGGCCCGGATACTCCGACGACTCCTCCAACCATCATGTCTTACTATTGGTCCTGCTAGCTAACGTGAAGCGCCGTGAGCAACTCGAGGCATGGAGCATATTCGAGGATCGACCAGACGAATTCTCGGGCCTTTTTCGCCGAATCCTATCTCTGACTCTCGACCAAACACTTTCGCCTGCGATTCGGACACACCTGCTGTCATTTTTGATCTCGGCCTTCCAGAGCTTGGACTGCGCGATTGTGAGGAAAGAGTGCGCACCGTTGGTCTCCATTTCGATATGGCACAGCTTGTCGACTGAAGAACTACGCGAAGAGAAGCTCGAGCAACACGCGCATGTGAGAAAGGCATGGCGTGCTGCAGGGAAACGATATGACGCTGCCGACGACGCTACAAAGGCGAAATTGCGGTTTGATCGATCATGGCTGTACAGCTTGGTCCTGCATTTTCTCAGCTTGATTTACACAGAGAACGCAAAGCCAGGTAAGAAGCTGTCATATAACTAGCTGGAGGAACGCGTGTCTGACGTGAATTAGACCAAGTCCTATACTGCGAGCGTTTTGTCGAGTTCCTGACAGACTTACAAAGCCAGCTTCCTACTCGACGTTATGTCAACACCCTTCTGCTTGACCTCCACATTCTCCCCGCCATGCGCCTGTCTCCTGTCTTTAATGACGAGGAGAACAGTCTTCT